ATCTATGATTCTCTGGAACTGCTGGCCTGCTTTTCCCCGGGAGGCCAAGGAGCAGGGGTCAGCTCCATCTTTGGGTTCTGAGAGGGTATCACGTGGTTTTGCTGGATTTGGAGGTGCAAAAGGAGAAGGTGAGGAAAAGTCAGACTCTGCTGGTCTCCTAGTTGGTTCTGCTACCTACAGCTCAAATGTCTCCCAGGTATACAGGTGAAAATGAAGCAAGATGAAAGGGTGGGTGTGGGGCCTACTTAGAGCAGCTACTAGGCTTGCAGAGGAACTTGAACCCAACTGATGGACCAGTGAAGTAATCTGTAACCTGGAATCCCAGTTTGCCTGCATGTTGGTAGCCCTGTCCTCCAAGAGACTTAGATGAATTTAGCTCTAGTACCCATTAACTTCTGTCAATCAAGGCAAAAGAAATAGCCTCCCTCCAAAAAACAGTGATCAGACAAGAATTGGAGGATGCAAGAATGAATAAATGAAGGACATAGCAATTCTCCTTCTGTGAATGTCATGGGCAATCAGACAGAAAAGATACTTATCTCTCTAGGATGGCTTATTTCCTATACCTATCACTACTCCATGTTGAATTCATCATTGCTGCAACATGCCAGAGTGCTGGAGGCTTTGAGAAGCCTTTGATTCTGGCTATCTGCTGAAATCAAACTTTCCCTCCTTCTTGATTTTCCCATAGTCTCCCTTCTGGGAATTACTTGCACCTGGCTGACACAGTGTCACTTCTGGCTAACAAAATGGCAGCCAGAAACCATTTGGTCATAAGATGAACAGTGACAGAGAAAAACAGGGAAGAGATAAAACCTTAGGCTGTAAGCAGGGTTGTTGGCCTCTGCCAAATAAAGATGTTTATTTTTCTTTTGATTTCTCAACAAAGTTACAAAATTGAATGCCTTGATTTATGTGGCTCAGCATATGTTCTCTCTGCCACAAATCTATTAGCTCCTTGCCTCCTCTGTTGCGTGGATGGAGCAAAAATAAAATCTGCAAGGAAGAGGCCAGCAGTGACAGAAAAGGAAGAGTGGGGCCTCTGAAAGATCAGGAGCTGAGACGTGACCCAGAATTCGGAGTAAAGGAGACTGAGGGAACAACTCTGCACATCTCTGTTCATGAACTTTTCTCTAACAGGGGAGAAAATTTATACAGCCACAAATGATTGCAATTCAAAGAGCCAAATTGAATTGAAAACACATTTTGTGTTGGGAGGTGTCTTAGTCCATTCAGGCTTCTATAGCAAAATACCATTGACTGGGCGGTTTATAAACAACAGGAATGTACTTCTCACATTGCTGGAGGCTGGGGTGTCCAAGATCAAGGCACTGACAGGTTCGGTGTCTGGATTCTTGGTCCATAGATGGCCTCTTCTTGCTGTGTCCTCACATGGCGACAGGATGAGGAGCTCTCAGATATCTCTTTCATAAGGGCACGGGTCTCATCCAGGAGGGCTCCACCTTCGTGACCTGATCACCTCCCAATACCATCACCTTGGGGTTAGGATTCCAACATATGAATTAGGTGAGACAAACATACAAACCATAGCAAGAGGCATTCATAGTTTTTTTTTTTTTTTTTTTGAGATGGAGTCTCACTCTCTTGCCCAGGCTAGAGTGCCATGGCATCAGCCTAGCTCACAGCAACCTCAAACTCCTGGGCTCAAGCGATCCTCCTGCCTCAGCCTCCTGGGTAGCTGGGACTACAGGCATGCACCACAGTGCCTGGCTAATATTCTTCTATTTTTTTTTTTTTAGTTGTCTAGCTAATTTCTTTCTAGTTATAGTAGAGATGGGGTCTCACTCTTGCTCAGGCTGGTCTCAAACTTCTGACCTCAAGCGATCTTCCCACCTTGGCCTCCCAGAATGCTAGGATTACAGGTGTGAGCCACTGTGCCCAGCCTGCATTCACAATATTGATGTCCTTAATACATCCCACTAAGGGAAGTTGTCCAATACAGTTGAGAAATTTTCAATGACATGCACCCCTTGTCACCACCACTTTCCTGCATTTCTCCCTTTTGCCTTCCTATTTCCCCTCCTACTGGCTGCATGTCTGTCATTTCTTCAAGTCAGGCGGGAACATTTGGGAACCTTCGCTACTAGATAATATGTCCATCTCAAATTCAAGACAGTCTCTTTCCTACTTTTCCAGAGCCCTGGTGTCAGGACAGCCAAGGAAGATTGTTAAAATGGCCATATGAGGTAGAGATTTCCTGGGGATTTCAATCCCTCAGCTCCCCCTACCCTTCACGACAAAGGCTAATCAAAGGTGAGTGAGAACAACACACAGTCTGACAAGAAGTGAAAGATGGGTCAGGCAGAATCCACAGAGGCTGGCTGTGATTTCAATTTCATTACCGTAATGAAAACTGCATTTCCATTAACTGCAGCAGGAGAAATTATTTACCAATGGTCACCTGTGACACCATCATCCCGGGGGGTTACATGGTGTGGACTGATTCTGCCATGGATAGTTGCTGAAGCAGCTCTTCGTTATCAGCCTCATGGGGCACGTGGGGGCGCCGTTCACAAGTGAGGGCAGTGCCTTCGTGTGTGTGAGAAAGCAGGTGCCAATACATAATATCACGGCGATTTTAAAAGAGTTTTCTTCTCCTGCCCCCCTCCCCGTTTTAATGAGCTTTCCTTGCTTGATTTGAATTTCTGATTTTCTGCACGTTTCCCAGTCAGATGGAGGTCAATAATAAATAACAAATTCTGTTATTTTCAAAGTAGCTTCTATGTGCTAGGCAGGGAGCTAAATGCTTTATGTACATTATCCTGTATCATTTCAATAACCCTAATTGTCCTCCAAGATGCATTCTTCCTTTCTTCATTAATAACCCAGCACCATGTTTTCCAGCTAGGCACTGACTTTCTGCAATCAGACCACATATCACAGCCTGCCTGGCAGCTACATGTGTCCATGTGGTCTCTAGGCTGCATGTAAGAGTGTTGTGTGCAATTTTCAGGAAGTCTCCTCAATAGAGAGAACATACCTCCCTTTAAAAATGTACACATGCTTTATTTTTATGATAGAAATTACAATTTGGTATGGAGATTTTCCATATGATAATAGTTATCTAATGCATAAAGAGATCATCTATTCTGTTGTGGCAATGCTAGAAATAGAGGAGACTAAAACAGATATCTTTAGAAACGTAAAAGTACAGGTGTCTCTTGGTATACATATGGGGTTGGTTTCAGGACCCACCAAGTACATCAAAATCCTTGGAACATGCCCTTTTTTATTGACTGAAATGTGGGCATGATAGCTGGATGTGAGCAGCCATCTTAGACCATGAGGTGAAAGCCACTTGTTGAATATGGTAAAGTAATGAGAAGGAGCTTCAGTCCCTGAAGCTTTCGTGGGAGAATTTTGAGTTTTTTGTAGCTGCAGCTGAAACTATCCTACCAAAAATGTCCTGCAAGGAGGTAGTAGAACGAGGTGTTAGAGAGCATGGGCTTTGTGGTCAGACACATTTGGATTAAAATCCTGCCTCTTTTACACTTACCAGGTTTGTGACCTCAGGCAAGTTACTTACCCACTCTATCTCTCATTCTTCATCTGTAAAATTAGAAATAAAACCTCAATGGATTTTGTGACAAGTCAAATTATATGATATACTTAAAATTTTTCAACGTAGAATCTGACACATGGTGAATGCATGATAAATGGTAGGTAGATATTGTTATTCTAATATTATGGATGAGGAAACAAGCCTCAGAGAAGTTAAGTAATTTTCCCCCAAGGCCACTCAGATAAATAATTGATAGTCAGACCTGGAAGTCCCCAAGGCTTGTGATTTTCCATGACATGGACCACCATGGATGCCCAGGTGTCACCATGAAAAACAAGAAAAAAAAGCTGTTTCTCAGGCTTGCTGGTTAAGACACCCAGACACACACACACACACACACACACACACACACACACACACACACACACATACATAGACACACATACACAGACACACACATACATAGACACACACAGACACACACATACATAGACATACACACACACACACTCTTTAGGTAGCTCAGCTCATTCTTTGAATGTAAAATTATCTCTTACAAACGAGCCTGCTGAAACAGGAACATTTATTTATTGGAACTAATCTATGTCACAGTGTGCTGTGGTTTGCTGACTCCTCAGGATCCCTGGCGGATGGCCCAACCCCCTGTGACACGATCACATTCTCCACTTCCTTCAGTCCATATCGAGTTCACTTTCTAATTTTTAAATGAGTCTAACTCAGAGACACCAGTCCCTAGTCTTCCAAGTCTGTGCCAAGGGTGTTCTTCCAATGAGCTCGGGGCTGAGGCGTCGATGGAATTGTCTCACATGACTGTGGGCTCGTAAAGACAAAGGTGGGGCCTGCAGCCCTAAAGTCAAGGTAGATGATGTAATGGGGCCATGAGCAACATCGAGTCAGGGACTGTGCCTGTTTTGTTCACTCACGTATCTCCACCTCCATCTCCACGTATCTCCATATGGATTGAGCCCACCAGAAGGGCTCAATCCATATGTATAGAATGAACTTTTAAGAATGAGAACTAAGATCACCAAGCCACAAACAACCATGGATGAGTTAAGACATTGAGTTGATGCTAACAGTGCCCTGTGTGGTGGATGCTTGCTGGGCTTTGCACCTCGAATCCCGTCCACCATTCTAAGAGCTCTGTGTCCTCCTTTGAGGGAGTTTCCTGGGTGTTTCCCACTGTAGACGGTTTTCTGGGGGTGGGAGTAGGGAGTGCTTACTCCTAGAAGCCAAAGGGGCCAGATGCTGTCTCTGGGAACTTTGAGCTACTGCTGCAAGGCCGTGGGGTAGCTGGAGGTCATCCACTGCAGGGCTGGAGGGGCGTGGGGATCACGCATCTGCTCTGAGTTAGTAACGCTTACTTCAACCTAATCTTCCCTAGTGCCCCTAGTCCCTGTTCACATCCCAGATTCTGATGGCCCACAAAATCCGTGAATAATCTCTCTTGCTACCCCTTTTTTTAAAAGAACATGCAAGCTAACTTGTGAGAGAGATTTCACAGATAGTCTTTGTCTTCACCAGTAGGCCTAAAGATTATTTGGTAAATTTTAAAATACTCAGGAACAGTAGAGAGAAGTTGCACAGTCAAGGCCAATATTTTCCAATTGAAATGTGGAGGCTGAAGTAATTGGAGAAGCTGATAGTGACTGTTTCTGATCCCAAAATGATTATTAGGATCAACAATTCGGCACCGAAAAAGTTGGAGAGAAGCGAGCTGAAGGTTGGATCCGCATCTAAATGCGGTGCCAACGCCTGCTCTTGCAATCGCTGATGCGTTTCCCTCATCAACAAAGAATGTAATTTGGCAGGTCGCTCCTGCCTTCAGAGTGGTTACTGCGGTGCTGTCTCTTCATATATGGTGATGATTCTGGGTCATTTTCTCAAGTTTGAAACTGGATGTGGTGATGGCTATTTCCAGATAGAAAATAGCTGAATGCTGGAAAGAGTTGAAGAGACGAGCAACTCTGATTTTGCACTTTGATCTAACTGAATTACAAAAGCCGTCCTTTGTATTCTACAGCTCTAAGGAATCGGAGTCTCATTCTGTATTATGATCGTCCTTCTGTGAGAAGAATGTACTTTCATTATTAAATTATATCAGAAAATATTCCTATTGTGTTTTATGGTTTTTTAATCCTTATATTTTATAAAGAAAGATTTTGAGAACCAAGTTTCACATGCCACTTTGGATAGTATAATATTCCCATTGGAGTAATTAGCTCTCTTCTTCCTGATAAAAAATAAAATAAAAAGACCAAAGGAGAAAGGCAGATGGAAATCAAAGACTGCCTTTCCTACCTAAAGCTGGCGTTGGGGAAAACGGATGCGTCCATGGGCAAGCGGGCGGAAGGGGCGGGGCTACGCATGCTCAGTTTCTCCTGGCAAACGTCAATCAGGCCCCTTCGCCCTGGGGCCGAGGGGTGAGGGGCCCTGCAGGGAAAGGAGGCCATGAGTGGCCCGGAGGCATCCTCGACTTACTTGACAAAGTCTGCCATAGTAGGTATTTTCTACTCATCAGCTTTAGTTTCTGTTTCTCTGCCTCCTCGCTGACCCTTGGATATTTGATGAGGGAAGTGCAAGCGTTATGTTATGGCGCAGCCTCAGCTGTCGTTATTCGGACAATTCGAAATTGAACGTTTTCGACTGAACAAGGGAAAAACGCTGTGTAGTCAAAACAGCGCTGACCTGGAGGCCTGGGTTGCTTGGGGCTAGCGGGTGAGTCCTTTCCCATCTGTAGCCCAGGGTGCTGGCGAGGTTGCTTCCCCCGCTGAGGCTGTGGTTTGAGTCTCACCCCTTGCCCGCTCTTGAATATCCAGCTTCTTGTCTCCTCAGGTGGGTTTCTTCCATCAGCGTTAGGCTTACACAAGTCTTTCCCGTTTTAGGACAATATCCTCACTTGTCCCTCACCCTTCCCAGCAGTTTTCCTATCTCTGTATTTTCTTCTTTATGGAAAAACTTCTTTAGAATGTACTGCCTCTGCTCCTTCACCCCTGAAAGCAGTCCAGTCTGGCTTCTAGCCCTATGATGCCCCCAAATGGCTCTCACTAAGGTGGCCATCCATCTTCAGGTAGCTCAATCGGATGGACACTTCTGTTCTCATTGTACTTTATTTCTCAGCATTCACTGGCATTGTCGAGCATTCTTTGCTCTTCAGAAATCTCATCTCCCTTTGTTTTCCTGAAATGACACTTTCTTGGTTGTCTGCCTTTGGAGGCCATCTGGGCCTGACTTTTCTTCATTGGGCTTCTTGATTTCTGATTCAATCTCTTTACCTGTTATAGGTCCATTGTGATTTTCTGTTTCTTCTTGAGTTAGTATAGGTAATTTGTGTGTTTCTAGGAATTATTGTTACATGCTACCTGATTTGTTGGTGTACAATTGTCCATAGTACTCTCTTACAATCTTTTATTTCTGTAAGGTTGATAGTAATGTCCCTACTTTCATTTTCTGATCTTATTTATGTCTTCTCTCTTTTTTTCTTTGTCAGTATAGTTAAAGATTGGACAGTGTTTGGAGTAAGTGACTGAGCCATGAAATTATCTAGTGGCAGAGCATTCGTGGCAGGAGGACAAATAATAGCTAACATTTACTGAGAATTTCTTTTGCACCTGATATTTATTCCAAGTACTTTACCTAGGTGGTGAGGGTAGCAACTATTACTATTATTAATATTATTTTTCTCACTTTCCAGATAAGAAAACTACAACACAGAGAGGTGAACTAACCTACCTATGACCTCATCACTATTAAGGGCAGAGCCAACAGTCCAACTCCAGGACTCTGTCTTACCTCTGCACTTTGACCTTTCACAGTCTGTGAGTTCAGTGAAAGGAATTGTTATTGTGACTAACATCAAAACAGAGAGAATGAATCAAAACGTCCATCTCCTATACCTCAATATGACATTTTTCTTCTTTAGAAATACATGAGAAATATGTCATTTCCAGCTTGGAGTAACAAATGGCACAACCATTTTACAGCTAATTTTACTCCCCAGCCAGTTCTGAGATGTTAATAACTAGGGCTGTGCCATCCCCATCACATTTTGGGTTTCTTAAAAATAATCCCCAGCTGTCTTCCATTGTATGCCATTTTATAAAATATCTTTTTCCCCAGTATTTTTTTTCCCTTTTTAGGGAAACAAAAGCATGTTTTAACAGCACCCAATCCATATGCTTTTGATTTACTTGTACTCAGATCGCCAAAATATTGCTTTATAAGATGTATTTTATTCCTCTTCAAGCTATCTTGAATAAGAACTTTTTAACATTTCCTTCCTCTCGATCACTGAGCAGTGTTTTGCTAAGGGGAAGAATATCTAGATATCATAACTGAATTGGTTTAAAGCAGAAAGTCTGGACCTCTGTGGAGGACTTGGGAAAACATGCTTCTCCGTCCATTGCTCAATCATGGGACGATTCAGAAACTCTAGGCAGCTGATGGCCCAGCTTAGGGACACTCATGGCTCCAGAGACACAAAAGCATTTTTAATCATTGGTCATTCCTACACACCCCACAGTGGAGCTGTAAGTACTTTCCCCTTTATAGAAAAAAAAGGGGATGAGTGGGAAAAGAAATTTCTCTTGTCAGCTTGAGCTTTAAAAAGAAGAAGGAAGTATGGGGTGAATGGATGTTTTTAAGCTCAGGCACATGTTAGAGGGAGAGGAAATGAGACTGAGTGAGAAACAAAGTGCTGACGCTGAAGGTCCTCATGGCCTCAGAATGACCCGTGAATCTCACCAGTTCCTGTAACAAACACCACAAAATACGCCTCATGCAAACAGCAACTTTGTAAGGAAGCGCTGGCCTTGAGTGGAGTCAGCAGAATCAGGAGTGGTGCCAAGCAGGGCTCCTCTGTAAGGTAAGAACTCAATTTTCCTTTCCATCCATCCCTTCATCCCATTATCTATCCCAGAAACACTAGAGAACTACGGCAAGAAGGATAGAGGAAATGGAAATTAGATTCTATTGATCACTTGTGATGCTAATAATGACAAATAGGCTTCATCTTAAGGCAATGCTGACTGATTGGTAGTGGCTGCCAGGAGTGCTGTGTTGAGAAGGCTTCTGAGGTCCAATCTTCTTTTAGGGCAAAGAGTAGATTCAGCTATGGGCATGACTGTTGTGTCAGCAGTTATACTTATCTTAAAAACCATGTCATGTGCCATGCTCCTAGCCCAGAGCTGGTTAGGTGAAGGAGACAAAAGAAGTTTTATTCAGATGCCCATTCAAGGTAGATAGGAAGGCATGAGAAGAGCTGGGTGTGGTTAGGAGGCAGTGGGGATTTTAAGGATGAGAGCTTGGCCTGGGTGGTACTTGCAGCTCTCCTGGAAAAAGCATTAACAACTCTAACCTAGTGAAACTCTACCTGCCTTGTCTCTGGCCTTGTATTACATGGGTACCTTCTCACTGTGCTCAGTGAGTGAAAGTCTCCCTAGGTCATTGGCTGACTGGGGAGTTCAAAGTGCTGAAGAGCCCAGCCTCGAGAGGCAGCCCATCCTGGCACCCTGACTCCACCTCTGAGAAGCTGTTCACATTCCCAGAAGCCTCTACGCCTCAGTTTTCTCACCTATAAGACAGAATAAAAACACCTGCCTTAAAGGATTGTGGTGAGGATTAAATGTAAAATAAAGGGCCTGGCTTGGAGTAATGACTGATAAATAGTTTATATTTTTATAAAAGCACCCTTGGCTTTAATTTGGCTTTAGACTTTCTAGGCTCTTATCAATTAATCAATATTTGTTTTGCACTTAATAGGTACAAAAGAGAACAGAAAGAGATCTAAGACCTGAGGCCTTAGAAAAGACATAAACAGGACAGAAAACCACTTGATGGGACCAAGTGGTCCATTTCTACCAGACATCTGGAAGAGGTGGGGAATGTGAACTGCGTGAACATTTGAGGATGAACAGTAGAGTGACTTCTTTTTTCCCAGCTTTAAATTTGGGATATTCTCTTTTTCTGTGTGGGCTTTTTAGGTCCTCAAAGGAGAGACCCGAATTCTGAGAAGTGGACAAGAGAAGGTTAGATTGCTGTTCACAAAACAATGAATCAAAACCCTGAGTCCTTTCTGGATTTACCTATGTTGAAAAAAACAAACTTCCTTCGCGGCTGAGGAGAGCCCCTGCAAAGCAGTGGGAGGGGTGCCAGTGGCTGTGGTGGTCTGAGGACGGGCGGCTGGAGAGTGAGGAAACCCTGCAGGTGAGGCCTCGCCACCAGAAGGAACCACAACTGAATGAGAAACCCCATTCAGCAGAACATGGAAAAGACCTTTTTGTTGTTTGAGATGTTTCTTGTTTGTGGCAAGGCTGACAATTCAGTAAGGCCCACAGCTGTGTTCAGGCCTAGGGCTTCCTCTGAGGCCTTTTCTCCAAAGCAGGAACGGAACCAGCGGGTGAGTCCTCCATCCACCAGCTCATGGGCCAGGCTCTGAAATGTGTTTGGGAAAAGCTGAGCTTGGAGTGGCTGCCCTGAGATTTTTATCAGACTTATGAATTTAAGTTCAGTGGGAGGAAGCTGAGTAAAACTACCCGTTTGGGTTCATGGATGATGCATTTCTGGGCATGAAGGCATGAAATTCAGCTCTCTTTATCTGGAATGTTGAAATAAGTTGAGTCAACTAGTTTCCCATTCTGGCCCTCACTATGGCTAATGACTAGACTGGTGAAGAAGACTGAGCTTTCCCAGGCCCTGCCTGGGCACCATTGACATCTGCTCCCCTGTTCAGTTTTCTCCCTGCTGTGTGCTCTGGACATGCGTGATGGTGACCTTGAACCAGGGAGCAGAAAAAATAAGGAAGAGGAAGGCAAGGTGTCCTGCCTGTAGCAGTACCTGCAAAGTGGTGTGGGGGTGCTGTCTGTCCTCACACCGCAGCTGGGCGTGGCCCCAGGGAGCCTGCGGGCTCGGCCTCCCGCATCCCCGAGTGCATGGGAGCATCACTCTCCATGCTGGGAAGCGGAGGCTTTGGGGGGAGTGCCCGAAATCTCTCTACTCTGCCCTTCGGTCATCATCACTGAAACTCGTACATTGTTGAAAGAGCCAAGGTATATTTTAGCAAAACAAATATTGTAGATATTTGTTCATTCATTGAAGATTGATTTATTCATTCATTGAAACATTTTTTTACATACTGACTTTATGCTAGGTGCCGAGGATACCAAAATGACTAAGGCTGGGTTTCCTGCCCTCCTGGGCTCACAGTCTTGTGAGGAAGGTAGACAAGTATGCAGATAATTCTAGAAGAATTATCCGCTTGATAACAGGAGTATGTGCAAAGTGCTCAGCCCTGCCCGGAAATGTTGAGAAGACTGACATAGGAGGCAGATCTTGCAGGAGGCGTTAGGACGTCCAGGGAGCTTGCAGAAAGGAGCGTTGCCTGAGCACCATGGAGGCTGAATAAGATTTTAAGCAGGGAGTGAAAGGCAAAGAAAGAAACTGGCCTTCCCGCTTCTGCCCCCAGTTGAGATTCCAGTTCACCGAGAGAGTTTCTTTCCTCTGCGTGCTGAGAAGTGCTTCTTAGGATGGCCCCGCACTGTTTACATGCCACAGGTCAGGCTAGCAGTAGTTATCAGGCCAAGCCTAGGATTGTTGCTATTTCTTGCATAGACCCTTGATAAAACCTGAAGACTTTATAAAGATTGTTGTGATTCTTGCCCTCTATCAAGTCAAAGGCTCCTTGGAAAATGGGCGGAAAGTAATAGCCCATCTCCCCAGAAAATGCACACACTTTTGCATAACATTTCAGGAGTTTCTGGAACTTTCCTTATACTGCCCTCCCCCAGCCCATTCATATATTTTAGGTAAAGACCTCCAGCCTGTAAGCACTTTACATATAAGCACTTTACATATACTGGCTGTGTCAGGGGACTGGAATAACCCATATGAGACACAGAATTTTATGGGAATCTGGCCTCACTTGGGCATTAAGCTTGGAGACTGAGGAAGAAATGCTATGAGGCAGACCTTCGGCCAGGCCATGGCTGGGCAGGGGCACAGTGTTGGCAAGTGTCCTTTGCCCTGACTTATTGTGGCCCGCTGGTCCTGGACCCAGCAAAAGCAAAAGCAGCTTTTAGCTCGTCAAGTTAGCTGCCTGCCAAAGGAGCTCAGTGTTGCACATGGTTTTTGCCAGATTATCTGCTAGTTACACTCCAGTGTACCTGCTGGTGTGTGTGCTTTCTTTTGACTTCAGTTGGTGTGTCGAGTCAACCAGGAGAGACTGTGGTGGGATAGAGGTAGACCAAGACTATTTCAGAGGGGAAGAGTGAAGACAGACGTGTGGGGGAGCTACAGGAGTTGTGGGTCAGCTTATTTCTAGGCAGAGCTTTGAAAGGACACAAAATCCTTTTGCAGAGGGCTTTGGCAGGGCCAGTAGTAGGTGGAGGCAACAGAGGCATTTGCTGTGGGTACGAAATGTAAGAGGTGCCAAAAAAAATCTCAGTAATCAAACCATATTTTAATGCAATTAAAAAATAAAAACTAATGCAAAAAATTGATGATGAATAACATTTCAAAATTTTAAGTAAAGACGGGATACAGTTCTGTGCTTGCATGATTCTATCTCACCTTACCTCATCCCAGCTCTGGGCTTTGGAGCCAAGAAAGGCAAGCCCTCAAAGTCCCAAACTTGTATTTGAACAGCACCTGTGAAATTCAGTAAAATAAGTACCTGGGCACTGCTGAGTTAGTTTTTGTAGCTGTCCAGGAATGTCTTCCAGGCAGTGGAAACACCACTTATCTCCCTTAAGCTCCGGCCTGCCCACTTTTGTCAAAGGTGTGTGTTGGCAGTGACCCAAATGTTCCACCAGGTGGCACTCTTGCTCCAACCAGGTGTCCTTTCAGAGGATTCTTAGCCAAACCAGAGAGATTTAAACTACTTGCTAAATTGTTGCTGTTGTTTTTTGAGAGGCCAGGAAAAATCCTGAACAGAAATTGGGGTAAACACTGATGAGATATGAAGCGCTCTGGGGGAGTATTCTGGAGAGCTTGGAGCCAGGTAGGGCCTGATTAGGGACCACAGGATGTGCTGCTCTTCAGCAGGTGAGAAAAATAAGAATTTAAAACCACCTTTTGTTCTCAGATGCAATATAAACATGTGAGAGGGGAAAGAAATGTGGGATTAATGGTTTTCTGTGAAATGTGGCCTGGTGGTAACAGCTCAGGCACTCAGAAAGACCTGGAATGTGGGCTCTACCACTTATCTGTGATCTTGGATGCATGACTGGGCTTTGCCAAGCCTGAGATTCTTCATCTTTAAATGGGGATTATTGTAGCTGCTCCCCCAGAGGGCTGTTAGGAGATTAAATAAACGGATGCACATGAGGCTATTTGCACACTGCCTGGCACATAGTAAGTGTTCAACAAAGGAGAGGTGTTATTATGGACTTTGAGGCAAAGGCTGTGCAGTTAAATTCCTGGGCCTGGCCTCCCCTGGCTGTTGAGTCAATTAAGGAGATGACCTCACGGTGACCCCGAGAAATAGCTCTGTAATGAACTGTGGCTTGGCTTCAGGAGAGTTAACCAGAACAGTTTCTCACCTGGATAGGGTTTCACAGGTATGATTTTTGAACCAGGAAATCAGGCTGGGTTCCTAGGTTCCCAAGCAGAACCGTGTCACCTTTGGTGACTTGGAGACATCTGACTACCAGGTGACTGATCCCATTTAAGGTATGCATTGTTGCGGTAAGTATCTATTTACATGTATATGTATCAGAACCTTTCCATTAATCCAGTCTGTCTTCTTACTGTTCTGAAATCCTGAATTCACAAGGATGCCCCAAATTAACTATTCTTCAATAATAGTGAGTTGTTAATAGTTCCTGTTTATCAAGGCTTACTTTAAACTAGTCACTTTAATAAGCACTTTACATATACTGGCTCATTGATGCCTCAAAGTCACCTGGAGAGGTAAGCAAACCCATTTTATAGACAAGTAAACTTAGATTTAGGGAAATGGCACCTTATCAGGGCTCCTTCAACCAGGAACTGGTATAAACTTGGGTCTGTCTGACTTTTAAATCTATCAATCATCGATCTGTCTGATCTGTCAATCATCTACCATCTATCTGATAGGTTAAATATTATACGAACTATTCTTATCTAATTAAAGCAAGTTCCCTAAAGACTTCTAGGATCCAGCAAAATCTTCATTGGCCTCGATTGAGAATTAAGGCTCCTTTCTTGCAAATATAGAGATATATTCATGGCTGAATATATCTGTACATGTACAAAGGTACATGGCTGTGCCTTTGCAGATACATACATATACAGCACATATAAAATGGCTTTCTAAGTAACATGCTCATACTCCTGGGCACCATGACATAGATTATGATCTACTCTTGTGTGGGCCTCATTTCTGGGATTCCCCAGGGTGAGCTCACCTGGAAGGACGCTCAGACAATGCCATTCTTCCTTCTGCACCGAGCTCCCTTTGCTGGCCTGAGAAAAGCTAGCTGGCCAGAATGGCCTCACTTTTCAATGGGATGCTGTTGGACAAGAGACAATGTGTCAGACAACAAGATCAGTTTGACCTTGGCCACAAGAAGAAGCCGAAGAGCAAATGCTGTCTTCCCCAAAGAAAAGTATCCAGGGAGGAAATTTGGTTTTGCAGTTCTTAACTGGAAGAGGGATACAGGTCAAAAGCTTGCAGCCTTCTTTGTGAGTATAGTTCCTGGAGTTAATTGGGAAGCCAGTGTGGATAAGTGGGGGTTCCTACTTATACCATGTTTGTTTTTTTGCCCCCAAATATAGTTTACTACCTTTAAGTTCATATTGTAGCTCAACTCAGACTAATAAAATGTTCTCTAGTACAGGTCCATAGAGAATCTACTTTATTAGATTAAGTGGGTTTTAATTAGTCGGTTAGAACAAGTTTTTCTGTAAGACTTAAAAACTATTTTGTCAGATTACTTCAATGAAAATATAGTTGGTATTATTCAGTAACTTTTAACACAAGTCACTTCCTGTTTATATTGTTATAAATTAATTTGATCTTAAGTGTCAATGAGGCTTATGGATTAAGAGAGAAGAAAAAATGTTTTTCTTTTGCACATAAATATTTTTATTAAAAATCAGCTTTATTAAAATAAAAATAAGCCAATACAATATAAAATAAAATTACTATAATATCTTTGGAAGATAGATGTATCAAAAGACATTTACAGCGTATAGGGAGCCATTCACTCTCCTCTTTAATCCTCACAAAAGGTCATGAAACCACTCACATCACTGCTATTATCCCTAGTTAGAGAGGGGGAAACTAAGTCTTAGGGACTCAAATACTAGCACAAGGGAAGGAGCTGCGATTCAACTCTGGAACTTTAGAATGAAAACTCTTTGCATGATGTCAGCCTTCCTCTCAACAGCAGGGGCCCATGCAGCCAGTAGAGGAGCTAGGGCTCAACTTAGAATGGCACCTGGCAGGTGTTGTGTGACTTTTTGGACAGGGGCATTGTTAGGGAACTAGAGGACAAATTGGCTGATTGGCATGTAACCCACCAGAGAGCTAGAAAAGGCATCTGACTTGGGATTGAACAATTAATTTCAGGTTTGAGTATTTTTTTCCTCCAAATCTACCCACTGAAAAGTCCTTAGAGTATGAGGGGACTTAAGAAGAACTGTCAGGATGGAAGATACTCATTTATTACTTTTGTGTTTATTTTTAAAGAGCCTTATCTAAAGCTGTCTAGAGCTGCTGAAGTCTTATATAGGAAGATGGGTGAGTCTCAAGCTCTTCAATCAGAAAATTATTGTCATAGGTCAAAAGAGCCAAAGAGTCCTAGGCTCTATTTATATTGTCAAAAAGAAAAATCTGTTTCTAGGTCCAACCCTCCATTTCTCTTTGCTGACCCTAATTGAATTTCTATTTATCATCTTTTTATCTGGTTTGTGTGACCCTGAAAAGTGCCACGAGTGCCTTGTAAAGATGCCCGTTTCCTGCTCTCTTGCTGCATCTCAAAGAGTCTGCAAGTGCTTGATTTACTCCTCGTCCCTGCCTCCTGTGCAGTGACCAGGTGATGAAGGGCATTCTCTGGCCCGAGATGAGGTGGGAGTATTCAGCAGTCACGGTGAGGTGCCCTGACGGTGAGGCATGAGGGGCAGAGTCCTCGCCCTCAAGGGACTTAGTGTCTTGTGGGAAACACACAGGGCACTGTGGCTCCAGACCCCGGGCGTCCCGTGGGTTCCTCTAGCAGGGAGCCTGATTAGGCCGCAAGACACTTCTTTTGCGCCCGGGATCTCTCCTGTTCCATTCGGCTCCTTGTAGACTCCTAATTCGAAGGCTTTCCTATTTGCCAGGGAGACCTCAGGTTTTTAACTGACTAAAGAGAAAAGCTACTTTGATGCTAAAAAGGGGAGCATTTAAATTGCCAGGTAATTTAATGCAATTATCTCTCCTTGGCCAACAGGCTGAAATGAGCAAGGGAGTAACAAGGGGTCTAGGAGTACAGCGAGCCAGTCATTTTCTCACTGCCCATCAGCAGAGTGAGAAGGTTCATTGAGGAGATTTATGATGCTTCCCTCCATAGTGTTAAGTGCATTAAAAAAGAGCAACTCAGAGAAACAAGTTTCCAGTGCTTTCTAACTCTTTCACTCCCTGGAAGATTTCTGTTGATTTTTAAAAAAAAATCCATTTTGAACCTTTGTGTATTGAACTTCCATTGGGTTCCTCTGAGGAATGTCCCTGTATTAGTCTCCTAGGGTGACCAAACAATGTCCCACAAATTGGGTGGTGTAAGCAACAGAAATTCATTGTCTCGCAGTTCTGGAGGCTGGAAGTGTGAGGTCAGGATGTCTGCAGGTTGGTCCCTCCTTAGGACATGACCTCTCCCCTGGCTCCTGCTGGTTTGACATTCCTCTGGTCTCTGCCTTCATGTCCACATGGCATTTTCCCAGTGTCCATATTTGTCCTTTTTATAAGATCACCACCATTCCCATTGGATTAGAAGCCCACCCAACTGGGATAGGATTCCATCTTGAAACTAATTACAGATGGCTTCCAATTTAGGATGGTTCAGCTTAACAATTTTTTGGCTTTATGATTATGTGAGAATATTGAATACATCATGAGATATTCAACACATTATTATAAAGTAGACTTTGTGTTAGATGATTTTGCTCAACTACAGACTAATAGAAGTGTTCTGAGCATATGTAAGGTAGGCTAGACTAAGCTATGATGTTTGGTAGGTCAGGTATATTCAATGTATTTTATTCTTATAAATTTTTATTTATTTATTTATTTGAGACAGAGTCTCACTCTGTTGCCTGGGCTAGAGTGCCGTGGCATCAGCCTAGCTCACAGCAACCTCAAACTCCTAGGCTCAAGCAATCCTCCTGCCTCAGCCTCCCGAGTAGCTGGGACTACAGGCATGCGCCACCATGCCCCGCTAATTTTTTCTATATATTTTTAGTTGACCAATTAATTTCTTTCTATTTTTTGTAGAGATGGGGTCTCTCTCTTGCTCAGGCTGGTTTCGAACTCCTGACCTTGAGC